CCCGCTTCCCACAGGTCCCGGGGCTGGCTGGGGTGCAGCCCCCACCCAGGCTGGCAGCGGCACGGGTTCGTCACCCGTCTGTCTGTCGGCTCCGTTTTCCGCCACCGTTTTCACGCCCTGCCCTGCCCTGCCCTGCCCGCCGGCACCTGCCCACTGTGCTCCTGGCCTGGGCCACCCATCTCCTGCCAAACGCTGCCCTGAGCTGCCCAGCAGCCCGACTGAATCGTGCCCGGGGAGCTGCAGCTGGCCTGACGGTGCCGCGTGAATATCCCCGCACCCCTGGGTCTTCCTGTACGTTTTGGTGGATACCTGCTGTCTATCCGCACGATATTTATGTTAAAATAACGGATGAGGAAACCAATAACGCTGCTATATGGCACAGTATTTTTCATATTTCATTGATATCTTCTGTAAGTACCGCGCCGGAATCGAAAGCGATGCACAGAATACCTCGCCTGTGCCTACGCATTGCTCTCCTCTTTGCTGTGCTTTCAGACCGTTAAGATCTCACTATTTTGGGCAGAGTTTTGGGGATATGTAAATGTAAAAAAATCTTACGTTGCAAAGCACCGTACTCATGTATTTAAACTGTGCATTTCTTAAATCCCTGCATGCATCCCCTCCTCAACTGCATTAATTTTTATGAAAAAATTGCTTTACTATCTGCTGAATCATTAACCGTCGCACTTGTCAAGAAACGCATCCCTGATGCAGGCAGGGTATGGCCATAAAAAGATAGTTTAAACACTCCACAAGGATAGAAATGTTTATGGTACACTTTAAGTATCTATTTGCGGGCAAATGAGTTACTGTAATGTGATCAGGAGGCATCACCGGGGGCATGCTTCCCCGTGCTAGGTGGAAGAGCTGTTTTTACAATGATGGGACTAAAACGTGAGAGTCATCTTGGAAAAAAAAAAAACCAAACCCTTCATAGCTCTTCTTGGCTTGTATAAATCATGCGGTAGGCGGAGGTGAGTGTGAGGGGGAGCGGGAGGAGCACAGTCAGCAAAGGCTCATTTCAATAAGGAGCATTAAGCTGTTTGGCCACGGGTTTCCAGTCCGGCACCAGCTTCCTCCTGGCTGGCTCCTTTAGAAATCAGTGAGGATTTCCCATGAAAGCAAACGAGGCAACAAAGTGGTGGGAGCCCAATATAGCCTGTGCAGGCAACGTGGCTTCAGCGTGTTAAAGTCTTGGTGCTGTCAGGGGCAGGTTTGCACTCCAGCGCGTGGTTGCCAGCAAAAGAATCGGTCTTCAGCTTGATCCATTTAGCACGTATTAAAGGCAGTTGACTTGCGCTTCGCCAGACTTCTTTAAGCGTAACATCTTGAAATAAGCATGACATCTTGAAATCTTCATCTGGGTAAAGCCTGAGTTTGTTAAGGTTTTACTTGCCAGTATCAACAACTCTCATCGCTTGCTTTGACTCTAGTTCTTCTCAAGCAGCTGCTCTGGCTGAGTCATGAAGAAGGCTCCTTTGGGGTACTGTACTGCTCCAAACACAATTTTACAGCTAGAAAACACAACCCATGGCTGCCCTGGGGAGTTAGATAATTGAGTCCCCCAGCGAGAGGTTGCTCCAAGCTCATCTGAACAGCCGTATGTACTGTCCCTACCCCATGTCAGGGTCCCTTTGGTCCCTGAGGCTCCTGCAGCGCTTAGTCTCCATGCTGAGGCTATCGACAGAGGAAGGGAGCGGCGTGGACAGTGATGGTCAGTGATGAACTTCTAACGTCAATGGTCCTGCCACTAGAATTAGGTGGACCGTCACTCAAAAAGTAATTCCAGGCAGAAGGAGCAAAACGGCTCTAAGTGCCTGGGCTGGAGAGGCAAACAGGTGCCCCTAGCAGGGGAAGGTACCCAGACCCTCAGTCCTGTTCTGGTAGAGCACGTTTTCATTTGCATGCCCTGATGCCCCCTTAGCTGTAGGATGTCTTGGTCTCATTTGCCTCAAAAATCTGGAGCTGAACAAAGAGGTTTCTCTGGTAGGTACATACACCCAGGCACAGTCAATCATCTCTCCTAGAAAAGTGCCCCAAGCCCACTGGTTCAGGGCGTTGTCAGAAGCTGTCCTGCCCCGGGTCCTTGAGGAACGAGGTGGTAAGGAGCATTTCCTTGCCCTCGGCAGGGTAACGTGACAGAGACACATTTTACCTGACAGACACATCTTCAGGACAGGCTGAAGATTGTGGTGGCCCAGGGAAGCAGAGAAAGGCGCTCTCTGTTCCCAGAGGTAGCAAGGTCTGGGCTTCTCCACACAGCAGGATTAAAAGAGAAGCAGGGCTGGTGAGGTTGGGTCAGAGCTGGGAAGGCAGGCTGCAGGGCAGTATTAGCAAGAGGACTGCCTCCTTCCGACTTTTCCCTCTCCATTCTGGATTTAGGTCTGATTCACCATCGCCTTACACCTGCTGTATTTGCTTACACCAGCGCAGAGTGCATTCAAATCAGGTTCAGGCGTAACCCTGCTGATCCGTAGTGGTTTATTACTCTCTTCCCCACCCCCTCGCCAGCTCCTTCCATCTCAGTTTTATCTCTCTATTGATCTGTTTCTCTCACACTCTCTGACACGCTTGCTGCCTTTCATTATTAGTCAGATAAAACCAGGCAGCCCGAGCATCCCAGCTACATGATGCTCTCTCTGCCCTCCCTCTCCACTCCAACGTCTAGGTCCTATGTGTGCTGGGTCCCCGTGGTTTTGTCTGCTTCTTCTTTGTCCTGCATAGAGATAAAACAAGGGCAAAGACCAGAAAGTCCTTGGAATGATTGAGATCCTGAGCTCTCCAAATGAGAAGGTCTTCCCAAAATATGCAGACTCTTGTGAGAGTGTGCAGTAACACCCCCGTAACTTAGCGAAGTCTTTGCTTTGTCCCTAGATCAGAGTGCTGGGTGTTAAGAGTAAATTCCAGACTCCTGGAGTCATTACCTCCCATGCTTTCACTTTGTTCATGAAGCAAACGCCTATCTTTATGGTCACAGGGAAACTGTGAAATGTGATTTTCATGTAACCTAAAGAGTCGGAAGTAGGAGGCAAAGAGTGGAGACGAAAGCAAGTCTTTACAATGTTTCATAAATCGAAGATAAATCTCGTGACACAGAGAGGTTCTGTGTTGTTATTTCTGAATGTTTGGGATTTCTAATCCTCGCTGTAACCACCCCTAGCATCATCCCTCTCTTCTGATCTCATTCTGATCTTTCCAGAAAGAAACCTCCGCTCTCTTCATGCCATAGATCCACCTTCTTTCCTGTGCGCTCACTGTCCCACTTTAAAGCCCGTAGAGCTGTACTGTCTCATTCTAGGTTGTTTCTCTCTTCACCACCGCAGAATCCAAATAACTTGTCAAAACGCTGATGGTATTTTTTCCCCAGTCCTTCTCCAAACATAGCCAGGGTCACATCTTCTGAGACGATTTTTCGCAACTGTGTGTAACATAGGCTCCGAGACAAAAAACACTGGTAAGGACAAAGGAGGCTGGGGGTGAATCGCTTGGATACCAACATGATCCAGAAGGCTTTTAACCCTGTAACTCATACCAGGCTAATGCAGCCGTAAGACCTGTACCCAGTTACACCTAAAGGCAGCCCAATATCAGCTGCTTACAGAGGAGTTTAAAAAAGAGGGTAACTGCATGGTAACTCTTCCTCCGATCGGCTCGCACAGCCCTCAGGATTTTGCGTACCAAGAACGGTCTTCCAGACAGGCCTCCGGTTGTGATTCAAAGACTCCAGAAGAGAGAGGATCTTGCACTTCACTCAGTAGTTTGCTTCTGTGATTAATCACTCTCCAGTGACTAGCTCTTGTTATTCTCTGCCAGAATACCTGGTAGACTTTTTCCCCAGGAAGGAAGTGATACTGCAAGCAAGTCATGTCTCGTTCTGCTTTTTGATACATTAAACAGGTTGACCTCTTTAAATTACTGAGATCTCCAGCCTTCGGATCACCTTTGATTCAAAGTTATTTTTAAAATATGGAGCATGAAGCAGCGTACAGTTTTCCAGCATGGGACTTACCCGGACACAGAAAGAGGTTTAATCATCTCCTTGCTTCTCTTC